AAATTTCATGGCAAGTATAATCAAACTATGTACACCAAAATTATTTATTAGTAGACACATGATGATGCTATCTAAATATAAATCACTATGAACATCAATATCTCAAATGCTAAAAAAGTTACAAATTTTATGCCCTCAGTGGACTACAGAATATTTGCCCAGCTTAATTTCTTCCCTATCTCCAGAGTATTACAGATAAAGGTTGAACTGAGCTGACAAGAGAAGAGCATATGCCTTTAAATCAAAATGATGATGGAAATCTAATTTATTATTAATATATGACAATGATATATGTTTCTGTTTATGTGTACATATGTCTATGTATTTTTACAATTTAGACCCATGGAAAGTCATGATCAATTAAACTATTTTCAACATAATTTGACTGATGGTAACATCAGCAAAATGGAACTTTCTGTTTGCAGACTCCTTCTTGCTTGCCTCCCCTTGCCTGATTCTTCACTTGCAGGACATCACATTATACATTTAATCACAATACCTGTGAATGGGGCTACTGTGTATGTTAAAACAAAAGTTTGTTATACTTTGTCAGAAAACCCAACATCACAAACAGGTATTTCTATATACAGGAAAGTTTAATCAGATTATACTTCAAAATTTTCAGGCCTTAAAATCTAGCCTGGGGACTTCCCTGGTGGTCGAGTGGTTGGGAATCCAGCTTGCAGTGCGGGGAACATGGTTTTGATCCCTGGTCAGGAACAGAGATCCTACACATCACAGGATAGCTAAGTCCACATGCCACAACTAGTGAAGTGACGTGAAGAAGTGAAGTCACTCAGTCACGTCCGACTCTGCAACCCCATGGACTGTAGCCCGCCTGGCTCCTCCATCCATGGGATTTCCCAGGCAAGAATACTGGAGTGGGTTGCCATTGCCTTCTCCAGGGGATCTTCCCAACCCAGGGATTGAACCTGGGTCTCCTGCACTGCAGGCAGACTCTTCACCATCTGAGCCACCAGGAAAGCCACAATGAGAAAGTGCCACAACTAGAGAGTCTGTGCACCACAATGAAAGATCCTGTGTGATGCAACTAAGACCTGATGCAGCCAAATAAACTGGAAAAATAAAAATTTAGCCTACACAGTTAAGATTGAAAAATAACATTTTTGATGCTGTTCAATAATAATAATAAAGCAAAATTAAAAGGAAATTAACTGTCTTTGGTTCGAGATGGGGGAAAAAAAAGTAAAATTTAGGATTCCAAGCACTAAAAAGAATGTTAAGACTTGAGAATTATATCTTCCTTCTCCAGTTACTTAATTTTATCCAACTATCTTGCTAGTTACAGCAGAAGTGAAGCTGATGGAAAAACTAGAAATACAATACAGTATTTTTCCACTATTTTTCAATGGCAACAGAAGTTAAGAGAACCAAGAAACTGAAATTCTAATTCATCTTCCGTCTCTGTCTCACTCTTACATATTATCAGTTCAATCTTAATACTTGGGAAGAATTAGAATGCTCTCATTTAACTTGGGGGTCAGCAAACATTTTCTGTAAAAGGCCATAGAAAACATTTTATAAAGGCTTTGTGGGTCCAGAGGCCAAACTGAGATTATTATGTTATATATCTATATTATATTATATATATATATAGGTAATTGAACAAAAAGAGAATAATCCACTAGTTTTTAATCAAGTTAAAAATAATGACCAAATATAATTTGTTATAATACAATTTCTACTACTGGGAGTAAAAGAATTCTCTTTTGAAGGGATAACATTTCACTTAATCAGAGTTCAAAGTCAGTGTTCCCTACCATCAGAAAAAAATTTTTTTTAATTGATTACAAATGGTCATCTGTCAGTGTTACATTAAAAAAATTTTACGTATCTTACTTTTAAAAATGTCTTCCCTCATGCAGACAAGTACAATCAAATACTGATATTAATACACAAGCATTTCTAGTAGAGCATATACACTGCTTGGAAAGCATTTACAGAATTTTATTACATTCTTCTGATATCTACCTTTTAACATGTCATTATACTGTAGATTAAAAAAATCACTTCCAATTAAAGGTTAGGTAGGAGCTCCTTAATTACAGTTACGCAGTTTTAAAATATGAAAATTTCCTTTGCACTTGTAAAGTGCAAAGTCTGAAAAACACTGATTAAAGCTTGAGTTTGGAAAATATATCCACTGCATATTGGGGTGGGAATTAAAATCTTAGTTTTTGTTTTAACTTCTGACAACAATGAAACTATGTAAGATACATTAAAGCATTTGACATTACTTATGTTTAAATAATGCTAGTGGTCAAACTGGCTTTACTACAGTGTAATCAATCAATCACCGCTTTGCCTTTGCAGTTCTAGATTGAATTTATTAATAAACACTAGCAACTCTGCAGGAAAACCTAATTTCTGAAGCCATTTGTGTTCAATGGTAGTGGTTGAGGGCAGTACTGGCTCAGAAAAACTTCAACCTTGCCCCAGAGCTTTAATAAAGTCACAGGAAAACTTCGCCATTATTAAGTTACCAAATGACTGTGTGGTTGGGCAAGTCAAGATACTCAGCTTCTATTTCTGACAAAAATTTATAGAATTGATGACAGTTAAGTCCATGAGGGTGAATGAAATTCACCACTGACATTATATATGGATCAATAACACATGATGAATTCAAACCTTTTCTACAACACAGCAGATGAGTAATACAATGGATTACTATACACTTGAAAAATCTTCCATTTTCACAATCTTTGTAAGTTTATCCAACTAAGTCTTCTGCACTATACATCCTAGCAGATTCCACTTCAGGTTGTACTGAATCAGTATTTTAGCAACTTAATTTACAAGCAGTTTCTCCTGTAGTTGTTCCATGCAGCTGATTCATAGTCTATGAAACTCTGCACTGACTCTGTGAATAAACAATCAGCAATATCAGTAACACCTGTCTAGTCGTCAAGAGTATAGGAAAAATACTTAAATAAATTATCTTGTTTTTAATTTACTACTGATGTCACTCCCAACGTCCTCAACTCTTCAAGCAACTGTTTCTGCTGAGAGGCTAGCAGTCTTAACTAAGTTTATATTCTCTGGACACATTTCTTCAGCTACTACAAACACACAAATAACTCATCATTGGTAAATGATCTTCCCTGTTTGGCCCACAAATGAGCCACTCAGAAACTTAACTGCAGCCTTATTTTTATTCTTTTACTTTTGTGAAGAAATTCGGCTGTGATGAGATATTCTACTTGGTATTTTCTAAATTTCATGACCACTGTTTTCCTGAGTTAGCAGTATTATCATGAGTGCTTAGCCTGATAATGTCAACATCAGTTGTCTTCTTCTGGCATATCTATAGTATGGACCACATGATAAGGACAATGTTTTGCCATTTCACCCAGTAACAAACAACGTATGCTCCACTAAGCCTTAAAAGCATGACATTCAGAGTTCATCTTTTTTTTTTTCTCATTTTGACTTGATGGGTATGCAATGGTAACAAAATAAATAAATATAAATTTACAGTATGGAGGTTATGCTTGGCACTCAAAATGCTGCAGATTTATAACTGGGATTTGTAGTGCACTGAGCGGCAGTATGATGTGATGAGAACACCACATAAGGTTTCTTTTTGTTTTTTAATTAATTATTTTAATTGGAGGCTAATTACTTTACATTATTGTACTGGTTTTTGCCATACATTGACATGTTTCTTTTACAACCACTAAATTCTGCTGTTGCAACATGAAAGCAGCCACAAACAATATATACACAAATCAGTGTGACTATATTCCAATAAAATTTTATTTATAAGTTTGACTTGGATAATATTTTCACGTCCCCAAATATTATTTTGATTTTTTAACCATTAAAACAATATAAAAGCCATTCCCAGCACACAGGCCACATAAAAACAGGTGACAGGTCATACTGGAACCATGGCAGCGGAACTAGACCGCTGGACTACGTAACCCTCAGTTTCCGCCATTTCTAAAATGAAGATGTACCTCAGAGGTTTCACCAAGGAAAAGCTGCGTGAATACGTAAGTCACTCAGAACAGTGCCTAGCTCTTAAGCTTATTAACTGCTAATAACGCTTACTGAGTAGAATATGATTGCAAATGGATTTCAATTCCTACTAACAACTCTGTATGATTAAAAACCCCCACTGGAGGTCTGAGGCAAGCACCCTATTTGGATGAATATTACACGTCCTCCAAGCAAGACACTTCCACAGTATAACACTATCCATGTTTCTGTTATACTGTCCACAATCCTACTAGCAGTTTCAGTCTTCGAGTATTTCAAACCTTAAAGTATACCTTTTCTCAGGTGCTGGAGACAACCTCACCATAAGAAAAATTTCTGAACAGACTATCTCTATCCTAAAGTTATACTACAGATCTAGATTAGTGAGCAAGTAGGAATAAAGTGAAATTTTAAGAAGCAGTATTTTTGGCAATAACAATTTCACACTAGAAATTCATAAATAAATCAGTCTGTATGAGCAAATGAAATTTAAACAAATCTTTTTTTGATGACTAAAAGGCCTTGCATGACACTCAATACCTCTATAAAGACATACCTTTATTATCCCAAAATAATTCATGCTTATCTAACTTCACTGCTCTGAAACAAATCATGTTTAAATATAAAAAAATCACAAAAGGTAGATTACATTTATTCATTATTTCCATATGCACAAGTGTGCATCAAATATTTAAGCCAAAAACTCAGAAAACAAAGGACTAAGGGCCTTTCCTTCTGGATTAATTACTTCAATTTTAGATGTTCCATCCTACCCCACATTATGAAATATATGTTTCTATAGACAGCAAAGTATGGTGTGTCTGACTTCACTCTCACTTATTTCCTTTCTTCTAAATCTATTTGCTTTACAAAAAAATATGTATTACCTGTAAGTGGAAAAAGTAAAATGTATTCATTGAAAGAGAGTTTGGAAAATATACAAAAGCAAAGTCCCCAAAATACTGTTTTCAGTTAAAATCATAGTAACTGCTTACCTACAACCAGGCCACATTCAGGACAGATCATATCACCAGCTCTGTAGTCCTCCACTAGGATCGCATCTGGATGGTTTGGACATGTGACTCTTGGAAGAGCATCCAAACTACATGAAAAAAAATTTTTCTTAAAATATCCTTCTAAGCAACATGCAACAAAGTACTAATCTCTCGGAGGGGGGAAGAGGTGGATTCTAAACACTTTCCCAATAAATTTACAGTACATCTACACTTATAATACATTTAAGCTCAAATTTCAAAGTAAACATCCTAGTTATGTTACTTTAGATCCTACTCAGCATTTAACAGATACTACTGGAACTGCCTTTGTAAGAATAGTTCCTGGTTTGCAAAATAGAAGGCTTTAAAAATATAAATAGAAAACAAGCTTTTTTTTAACATGTAGACTATTAAAGTGTTTATAAATCATGATTGGCATGGAAATGACTATCTACCATTGTTAACACTCAACATGTACATATAACCATCTGGTCTTCGACCCTTGACACTTATTTCTCTGGTGAGAGAATAAATTTCAAGTCTGTGTTTTTCTGCTTGCTGGATACTTTAATAATAAACTTGAATGTACATTGAACCTAAAAAGGATACAAACCAGGGTGGTAGATGTGGCTTTGCTGAACTTAGGATGATTTCATTCAGTCCAGAACTGAGTTTGTCAGCACTCAAGAAATGACTTCAAAAGCTACTTTTAAATCTATTTGTGATATTAATAATTTGCTCTATTACTTTATTTTGAAAATAAGGCAGTATGGGGAAGACACATCGGCCTTAAGTGACCTGAAAAAATCAGTTCTAAAAACCATCAAAGGTATTTAACATAGATTTAATAATTACTTCTATGGCTGTGGTGTCTTACAATCACAAATGTCTGGTATCACTGAAAATAAGCCCTTTTTAAAAAATTCACTTGAAGTAATACAGAACAAGCTCCACAAACAAATATATAAAAGACAACATCAACTATTCTTGAAGTATGTAAACAGGTATTTGTGGTTTTGGATAAAGTTTCTCAAACTAGAAAACATAGTTCAGAATGGTTAAGTTTCAACAGAGGTGATATACACCGAAGAACTGATAATATAATCCATATCCCCAAATGTACATATTCAGGTTAACCAGAACACATCTTGAATCTTCTCACTGGGAAAACAGGGAATGGTGGTTTAGTTTACATTCACGCTTATTAGACTCTTGAGTCCCTTGAGCTGCAAGATCAAACCAGTCAATCCTAAAGGAAATCAATCCTGAATGATGCTGCAGCTAAAGCTCAAATACTTTGGCCACCTGATGTAAAGACCCAACTCACCGGAAAAGACCCTGATGCTGATAAAGACTGAAGGCAGGAGGAGAAGGGGGCAACAGAGTGTGAGATGCTTGGATGGCATCACTGACTCAATAGACATGAGTCTGAGCAAAGTCTGGGATATAGTGAAGCACAGGGAGGCCTGGTGTGCTGCAGTCCATGGGGTTCCGAAGAGTTACTGAACAACAACAGGCTTATTCCATAAACTTCTACTAGGAAAATATTTTAATAAATTATAACAAATAAAACATTAAGAAATTAGTATAAATTATTTTTAAAAACCTGTGTCAAAATAAAGGACAGTGTTAGAAAAGTAACTGTAATTACAAATGTGTAAAATGGGCAGCTATGTGACACACAGCATCCAAAGGACTGATATATTTTGTACTATTAAAAAGTAGACTATTGTGTGCATGTATATGTACATAAAAATGATATGGGAACAACTCAAAGATATGCTGAAAGAACAACACAGGGATTTCAGAGAAAAGTGAGAAAAGAACTACAGTCATATGCAATAACATGAATAAATCTCTGGTGTCCAAAAGACACCAGACACAGAGGAATACATATGCATTTATATATAAAGTTTAAGTCAGGCAAAACAAATCTATAGTGTTAATAATAAGGATGTGGTTTTCTTTGAGAAAGGGTAATGACTGAGGGCATAAAGGAGGTTTCCAGAGTGCTTCTGCTGCTGCTAGTGGTATCTGATTGGGTGACAGCTACGTGTATGTGCTCACTTTTTAACTGAACTGCACACTTAAAACCTGTGTGCTAACTAACTTCACAAAAAAAGGTAAAATGCAAGATAGCATTCAGTTTTTATATCAGACTACTTTTTGGAAGGAAGAGAGGTTAGGATTACATGCATATGTTTGTTAAACCACAAAGTCACTAGGAAAACACCCAGAAACTGGTTACAATGACTGCTTTGAAGAATTAGATGGCTAGGAGTGAGGGAATAAAAGAAACTGCTTTTCACTTTTCTTCTTGGTTTTTATGATTTGCATGTGTCACCTATCCAAAATAAAACTGTGCTCAAGCAGTTAACTTTTAATGAAATAACCCACAAGGGTAATACAAAAGAGAAACCACAAGAGTAGGGTGGTGGGTGAAGTAAGGGATAGAAACGAAACTGAAGGAATGGAGCAAACCACCACCACTGACATTAAAACTCAGGCTGCCTAAGAAGCCACGTAATTCCAAACTTCATGTTATAGCTATCCTTTACCGGGTGCCTACTATGTGTCTAGTATTGTACATATATTATTAATCTTCATTAGCATTACCCTTCAAATTAAGCATTACCTCTATTTTAAAGATTATGCTCAGAGAATGATTTCCCTGAAGTCACAGAACTAATGAGTGGTAGAGTCTAGGTCTGAACTCACAACATTTGTGTTCTTCTCAGTGAAAACACCAAGCAGTTTCATAGCCCAGTAACTGTCCCTTTTCCTCAGAGGGGGAAAAGCTATCACAGAAATACTAACATTCATCTTTGTTCTCACTGGTAGAAAAAACTCGAGATGGACAACTGCAATAAGCCTAGGAAAAATTTCAAAGAAATATCTCAAAGATTTTTTCTTTTAATGAAGAGAATAAAGCACACAAAGGAAATGTATTTTTTTTTCTGGTAAAGAATCTATCAAGTGAATTTACTACATTTAACTACTACAACATGTTTACTAATAAAGCCCAAATATAACCACATTCATAGTAGATCTGCCCTAGGAGAATGTCACAGATAGGCGTCCTTGGGAAGCTAGTTCTCCACTTACCTACAAGGAAGTCTAACCTGACAGAGCCACACCCAAATAGAATGATTGAGCATTTAATCACAGAATTACAATCAGTAAACAAGTGTCACTGGCCTTAAGAGTTGTTTCCAAGTAGTTTAGCTAAGGCTGCCTCCTGCCCCATCTTTTAAAAATACAGTAATATAAAGTAGTAAGCCTTGGTACTCACCAGAAAGGGTCTGGACTACTCAAAGCTTATTATTTTGTGATGATGGTTTTCATCAGGAACTCAATTCCAAAGATGAGAACAAGTTCAGAAAAATTATGCCAGTTACCTTGCCTTCCAGAAGCTACAGAACTTTATCTGATATGTTTAATACATTATGAGTTACCAAGTGTGATAACAGGAAACAGATGTATGAGATTCTACACTCTAAACACTAACCTTGGAAAAGTCAACATGGGCATGACTCAGTTTACACTTAGGCAAAAATCTTAATATCTACCTCATACTGATCATGAGAGACATAATTAGGATCTGCAAGCATTTTTCATGTCACAGGATTAAAGGTTGTCTCTAATGGCTGCTGCTGCTGCGTCGCTTCAGTCGTGTCCGGCTCTGTGTGACCCCATAGACGGCAGCCCACCAGGCTCCTCTGTCCCTGGGATTCGCCAAGCAAGAATACTGGAGTGGATTGCCGTTTCCTTCTCCAATGCATTAAAGTGAAAACTAAAAGTGAAGTCGCTCAGCCGTGACTCTTCCCGACCCCATGGACTGGAGCCTACCAGGCTCCTTCGTCCATGGGATTTCCCAGGCAAGAGTACTAATGACACTGTATGCATCTGCGGTAAGTATCAATCAGTACATCACATTTTAAAAATATACTGGCTGCTGCCAAGTCGCTTCAGTCTGTCCGACTCTGTGAGACCCCAGAGACGGCAGCCCACCAGGCTCCCCCGTCCCTGGCAAGAACACTGGAGTGGGTTGCCATTGCCTTCTCCGAGTGACTTCCCAGTATACGTTAATTTTCTGCAGGCAAAATTTTCTTCAGGAGTATGCAGATGACATCTCTAAAGAAATCTCTTAAGGAGACTTATCAACTGTTCAGAAATGCCTTAGCTTCCACTTCAAAAGGCCTCGGGGGTGGCTATCAGTTTCCATCAGGCTTACCAACGCTGACGTCCCTAACTTTTTGTCAGATGGATAAAGGCCTAGAACTAACCCTTTCCCGCTCTCTAGAAGAGGATTCACGAACCCTCGGCGGGCAGACCAACAGATAAAAAAACAAGCGTAGAATATTTAAGAAAAAAGGACGGTTGGATCATACGCAAAAGACCCGAGACCAGGGGCTGAGGACACCGGAGCCCCCCACTCGATAGTGCCTGGGTGAGAAAACGACCAAGGACGCTGGAGAAGAAACGCCGGCGGCTCGTTACCCTCTGCGACAGCCCTGACAGCCCTGCGTCTGGAAGTGCCTTTGTCCCGAGCGGCCAGCCGGTCCGGCTGCCTCTCCCCGCACCACCGAGGCGTTCTGCTCGACGAAACAGCGGGAGCGGCCGCCCTGCAAGCCCCGGCGATCGCCGCCCGCCCTTCAGCTGGCTGGGCTCTACATGACGTACTAACCGGCTGGTAGACGCCATCTTCACGGCCACTGCAGCTCCAGCTACAAACAACGACAGACGCAACCGCAAACAGGAAGAGACAGTGGCGACGAAACGCAGCGAGACGGGCTTTTATAGGCGAGTCGCCCACGCAGTCGTAATAGGGCGTGGCTACGGGTCCGGAGAAGGGCCAAGAATGGTGAGCTCGGATACGCCACGTGCTTTGCGTTTTCTTATTTCCCTATTCACTTTCGGTCACTTTCTATGTGGCTGGGCAAATATAGGAAATCACCCGGGAAACTTCTCAAGGGCACCCTACAAACCTGCTACACCAGAGATACCCTCAACTTGACTGAATTACAACACAAAATGACTGGGCGTCGTGGAGGGGGCAAAGCCCGCATGCCCGAAGGCTAAACACCCCTCCCCCAGCCTGGAGTCAGTTACTCCAGTTTGACCGCAGTTCTTACTTGCCAAAGGGATGATTCCACCAAGGTATTTAGAAAAAAGAGAAATTCACTTAGATCAGCCCCAACAAGTGTCAATTCAGGCTCTATCATCAGCTAGCAAGCTTCTTAGGAGCGTCCTTTGCGCTTTGGGGTAAGCGGTAATAGTATATCTGCCTTACATACCCTTTTAGAATTGGCAGGAAATGCAACAAAATCATGTGAGATCACTGTACCAGTGAGGCAGGGAGATATGGGTCCTACCCTGACTGTTGTTTTCATGATCTTTGCAGATGTGGCATAGCTGAAATATAGAGAACTTAGCAAAACTGGTTAGATACTGCAAAAGGTCTCTAGGTTTATTAATTAGACAAACAAATGTCAGAATAGTAATAAAAATAACAGCAACACTATCACTACTTTGCTGAAAACAAATCACCCTCGACCCTGGGGGAATTGGAGGAAAAAAAGGTGCTCCTGGTTTCTATGGGGATGAGAACTTAGAATATACTGGCTGCTTTGTTCTTTGGGCATGTGACTTAAATGTCACTGAGCCCTCATTGTTTTCTTGAAAGGTGGGACAGACTCGTTTCCTTAGAAAGAACAGGAGGCCGAAGTTTAGGCACTGAAATCCAGATGGAGTTGGGAGAGCATTCTGTGTGTTGGGGCGCGGGACGGCGGGGCGTCTTCTGTGACCTAATACTGTAATTTAAAAGTGTGATTGTGCTTTTGTGGGGGATTTCTCCCTCAATATCTGGCAAAGTTTCAAAAGGCCAATTTATTTAAGCTGTGCCAAGTAGAACCCCGGAAAGAGACTGAGGGTGCTGCACCCTAATCCAGCAGGAAGTTTTCATAGTGGAGCACTTTGGCTTGGGAGAAGAAGAGAGAGAGGAGAAGGAAGGGAACTGGGCACCCCTTGAGAATCAAGATAAGGACCTAATTGTTTATGGTAGGCGTTCAGTAATGTTTGTGGAAGGAAGAAACCATCAGAGAAATTGAAACCTCAGAGGAAGGAAGCTGGGCAATTGGTAAATTATTCCTGCCGCATCTGGAGAATCTCTGTCATAATCTAGCTAAGATTTCTTTTATATTAAAACACAAACAGCTAAGGTAGGCCATTCCTCTTTTTGTTAGTAGAAGAGCATTGGCATTTTGTAAAGCATTTTCATCAACATTATTCCACTGGATCTTTGTACCTGATCCTAAATTGGACCCCACATACAGAGAGTTGGGGTTTTGTCACCTAGGAATCAACGACCCATACTAGCATTCACCAAAGCTGCTGGTTGGTTAATATCATTTTATTTAACTGTATGATTAATTAATTTAAAATGTTTATTCAAATCAATTATTGAAACTAACATTTTTTAAAACTTTATTTTAAAACTTTATATCATTACTGTGAAATCACAACTTAATAGGTTATAGCTCTTCTCAAGTATAAAATGCTTTACATACCTAATAAATTTTTTTAAGTTTGTGATCCACTTAGATATATATTTTTTTAATTTATTGAAGTATGATTCCACACCACAGAATTTACCTGTTAAGAAATCAGTGATTTTTAGTAATTTTACTGAGTTGTGCAACCATCCCCACAGTCGAGTTTTAGCACAATTCCGTCATCCCATTAGGATCACTCATGACCATGTACAGTTAATGCCCACTCCATTTCCAAGACTAAGAATCACTCATCTACTTTCTGTCTGTATGTTGTTGCTGTTCAGTGGCTAAGTTGTGTCCAACTCTTTGCAAGCCCATGCATTGCAGCATGCCAGGCTTCCCTGTCCTTCACTGTTTTGCTGAGTTTGCTCAAACTCATATCCATTGAGTCAATGATGCCATCCATCTCATCTTCTGTCACCCCTTTTCCTCTTGCCCTCAGTCTTTCCTAGCATCAGCATCTTTTCCAGTGAGTTGGCTCTTCGCATCAAGTGGCCAAAGTATTAGAGCTTCAGCTTCAGCAGCAGTCCTTTCAATGAACATTCAAGACTCATTTCCTTTAGGATTGACTGGTTGGATCTCCTTGCAGTCCAAGGGACTCTCAAGAGTCTTCTCCAAACACCACAATTCAAAAGCATCAATTCTTTGGCACTCAGCTTTCTTTATGATCTGACTCTATAGATTTGCCTTTTCTGTACTTTTCATGTAACTGGAACCATATTAAATATGGTCTTTTATGTCCAGCTTCTTCCTCTTGGTTTAATGTTATGGAGGTTCATTAAATTTATCTTATGGCCTCAATTTTGGAAGCATTGATATGTAAGTGTCTGTTATAAAAGTGTCATATGATGATATTGCAGAAGATGATAAATTCCTAACTTGAGCAAGATTTGACAAATACTTGACTGGAAATTATGGCATATTTGAAATATGTCATGTGACATATTCTGCTGGACTGGGAATAACTGAGGATTCACTGAAATGTGTGGCTGGCTCTGACTAGGATTCTTTTGGAAATGAGATAAAATGCCTGGAATGTTAGACAAACCTTGCTTGCCTGGTGGCTGAGTGACCATATGTATTACTTCTAGAAATGTGAGGAGTTCGTATTTTAATTTTTAAAATGTTTTATTATGTATGAAGATTTTTCAAACACATTAAAAATTAGAGAAAATACTATAATCTTCATATACCTATCATCCTGATTAAACAGTTATCATGGTTATCATAAATTTGCCACATTTGTTTTGTGTATCCTTTTCTTCCGTGTTTTCTCCTTTTGCTAGAGTATTTTAAAAACCAAATCCCATATATCATATTGATGCATACATTACATTTCTAAAAAACATGGACTTTTAAACCTTTTTATGTAGCTAAATTGTTGTTGTTGTTATTCAGTCACTAAGTCGTGTCCGACTCTGCGACCCCATGCTTTCATGGGCTTCTCATGGTAAGAATACTGGAATGGTCTGCCATTCCAATGGGCCACATTTTGTCAGAACTTTCCACTGTGACCCATCCATCTTGGGTGGTCCTGCATGGTGTGGCTCATAGCTACATTGAGTTATGCAAGCCGCTTTGCCACAACAAGGCTCTGATCCGTGAAGGGGATAGAGCATAATAACACTTACAAAATGACCAATGATATTTTTGCTCACTAAGTTTCCAGGTGGTAATGGTCCTGGGCCTGCTTCTTTCTGGTTTGGCTACACTGGGCAGAAAGGTAAAGCCCTGCGGAAGGTGGCAGGGGGCCAGAGAGGGAAAGGGAAGGCCCCACATGGAACTGCAAGACCTAGGTAAGTTCTTGAAAGTAACTCTGAGATTCTTCTGCATTGGGCCATCTGTCAAGCTCTTCACATTCATCATCTTACCTAGTTCTTAGTTATCTTGTCAGGCAAGAATTATTAGTCTCCTTTTAAAACCTTAAGTTGAATAGGTACATTGCCCAGGGTTACACAAATAAGTTAGTGCTGATGGTAGAATTCAAAGCCAGGGATGACTGACACCAAAATTGTCCTACTTTTCTGCAGGCCTACTATGTAACTGTTGCTGCGGGACTATATTTTTAAACCCAAATCACAGTGGCCGGGAAATACAGGTTACATCTGTAGAAGCATTCATTATCCCTTTGATTATTTAATAAAGGCATACAGTTTTATTTAAATTCAGGTAGAAGTAGTAATAAACATTAATTATCATGATATTATCATGATATTAATAGTATTAGTAAGCACTCATATAGCACTTACTATGTGCCAAATACTATTTTAAGGCTTTGCATATATTAAATATTAACTTATTTATTTATTTTGGGGTTTTTTTTTTGTTTGTTTTTTTAAATATTAACTTATTTAATCTTTCCAACAACTTTATAAGTTGGATACTATTATTGTCCCCACTTTGTGCATGGATAAATGAAGGCACAGAATGGTTAATTAACTAGCCTGAAGTCACACAGCTAGTGAATAGAGGAGATTAGATTTGGAACCCAGCAATTTGACTCCAGAGTCCTATTAGAAACTCAATATACAGAAATTCAGCTTACAGACTTTAAGATCAGGAAATCAGTTTAACAAGCAGTTTACCTGCAGCTATTGTGTGGGCTTGATTTTGTGGGGCAGCTGTACTCCAAAATATTCTAGCCAGCTGTCTGCCTAGGGACCCTTGTGTTTGTCAGTTACTACACAATTACAGTAATTACAATTACTACCTAAACTGAAATGTGCTTGGCTCATGTGCTTTGTCCCTTCCTGGCTCATATCCCATTGCTAAATGTACTTGCATATGTGATCCTGAATTTAACCTTTCCATTTGTTTGTTGATTTATTTGAAAGCTTTGATTCTCCCGTACTGGCAGCTTGTTGTCCATTTGAGAATAAATCTATTTTTCCATTGAGAAAAGGCAGCAGCTTCTTCAAGTGTTAGGAAGGAGAATATAGGCTTAAAACATTAATAATCTATAAGTGTAAAATATTAATTGTCATTATCTCCTTACAGAATCAAGGAAGAAGAGTGCAGAAATTAACTCACTTTTTACTTCAGTGTTCAGTGGGCCGTAGTTTCTTTTAAACTTCTAAATGACTCTGCTAAAAACAAAACAGAACAAAACAACTTTAAGGGGTTCACACTAGTAGCTTGTGACTTTTAATATCAATATTTTTTCCAAAAAGATGTCATTTGACAATAAGTATATGACTTCAAAAGTTATGCTACACTATTTAATGTCATTCTATTATATGTCTTAAAGTCAGTATTTTTTCCAAAAATAACAACATTCTCATTTTATAATTTTAAAAAATGGGGATATTGAATGCTATATGAGACTGTAATTTTCTAAAAATGTTTCTTAAGTCATTTATTTAATGTAAATAAGATTTGGCTTTAAAGTCCTACAATGGTTTTTGTGTAATGAACTATTGGGAGAAAATTAGAACATGAAATACATTCACGTGATCCATTCAGTTCAGTTCCATTACTCGATACTTTTTAAAGACAGAATTTTAACATTACTGTTTCCATGAAAATCACATGCTAAAAACCTATTGTATAAAATGCCTATTTTCAAATAATCTCTTATTTGTGTATTAAATTAAATTTATTAATTATAAAGTATAACTATGTGATGAGAATATAAAATTGCTCTCATTACTGTTTCTCCTAATGGCCATGCATTGCTCACAGTACTATAAATTGATACAACTCCTTTAGAAAGCAATGAAGTGATACTCCAAAATTATTTAGATGTAAAAGCCTCTTGAGCCAGTAATCTCACTTCTGAGATCTGGAGTAAAGAAATAATCTAAAATATGAGATACTATATTCATGAAGATGTCCATTGCAATGTTACTTATAATTTTAGCAAGATAAATGATAAAAATAGGAAAATTGCAATTTTTGTTGTAACGTTATAAAACAGAAGCAACATTTACCTTTGAAACAGGAGAATAACATACAGTCCCTAAAATCTGAGTGCAATTTAGGCAGCAAAACCAATGCATATGCCAAGACCCTTTTCTAAACAGTGCTTTACCAGGGTTGATTCTGTTACTATAGGTGCTTGAAAATAAATGGTGGTGAGCTCACTGAGAGGTGATAAATAAATCCTAATTTATTTATCCTAATTTATTTATTTATTTATTTTATCAAAATAAATCCTAATTTATGGTTTGGACCTTTGTGACTAATTTTTCACATAGAGAAAACATCCAATAACTGTGGTTTAAGTGAGCTATTGGTTGATTGAAAGAATATATTTTAAAATATCATTATTCTGACTATTCTTCACAATAATTAAAGCAAATTAGTGAAGCTTTACAAAGAGTTTTCCCATTATGGCTAGCTTTTCCTTTTTCTTCCCCCTCTAGTACTTTCTCTTGTCTATAGAATTGTATATTACCTGCTCATTCTCACTATTTTCTGATCTTTCCTACTACCTCAGATTTTGCTCTTTTGCATTAACGAGATGAAAGGACCCATCCCACACTTGTGAAATATAGCATTTTTCACCCCGTCTTGCCACTAATCTTAGCCAAAATGGATGGTCTCTACTCAGTTTCTCATGTTCAGACATCAAAAGAGTCCATGTTATCACTACTAGTATCATTATTATCTGATCATTAACAATCACTACTAGTATTATTATCTGAGCATTAACAATCACAACTAGTATCATTATCTGAGTATTAACAGTGTGCCCACTATTTTTTCCTTTATTTTATTTATTCGTTTTTTTTGGCTGCTCTGCATAGCGTGTCGGAGAAGGCAATGGCACCCCACTCCAGTACTCTTGCCTGGAAAAATCCCATGGATGGAGGAGCCTGGTAGGCTGCAATCCATGGGGTCGCTAAGAGTCAGGCACGACTAAGTGACTTCACTTTCACTTTTCACTTTCACTCATTGGAGAAGGAAATGGCAACATACTCCAGTGTTCTTGCCTGGAGAAACCCAGAGATGGGGGAGCCTGGTGGGCTGATATCCATGGGGTCCCACAGAGTCGGACACGACTGAGGTGACTTAGCAGCAGCAGCAGCAGCAGCAGAATCCCAACAGCATGTGGGATTTTAGTCCCCTGATCAGGGGTCCAATCCACATCCTCTGCACTAGGAGTGAGGAACCTTAACTACTGGGCCACTAGGGAAGTCCCAACAAGGTGCCCACTCTTAATGAGTATTTTAAATGACAGTATGGTAAGTAATTTCCATATATAGCTTAATAGATGTGATGTTTGATACACTATCAGTTATTTTAAATACTTTTATTGGGATGGGTTCTTTCAAGTTAAAAAAAATGAAAGTTAACATGATTATAGTTTTTCTATTAAAACTGCAAAACTGACAAAGGGTTGGCAATCTTCTACTGTTTTAATGACTTTATGGCATTTAGATCCAGATGTAGTATTAAAAAGCTGCATAGGAAGCCCCTGCCACTTAATTGAATTCATCTCTTCCCACCCAGTATTTCGACACCTCAGGCTAATTTTGTAGATTCTTATTAAAATGCTCACTCCTAATATGTCTTTGGACTATCATCTTTACTTTGTCAGTTAGGTTAAACTCTGCCTGTAGTCTGATGTTATTGTCTATTTTGTGAGTGAGGGGATTGGCTATGTCTTTCTGAGTTCTTTTCTGTTATGTGGAAGTTAATGTTAAAAAAAAAAATTCCCTACAAGCCCGAGGTCAGTAGTCTGATTTTACAACAGAGATCCTAAGAATTTCCCACTAAACTAAATGGTTGCAGCTTTCTACATCTAAAATAGCTAAACTTGCTTGAGTCTTTTGAATTTTCATAAAATTGTTCCAGAGTAAAATGATATAAGCTACACTTTAATGATAATTTAGTTATAACTGACTTTCAGACAGCTACATACTCTGTGATTATTCCTTTTACTCAAAAGTATTTGGATCTATTAATATGGCAATATACTTTTCCACTTAATTGATTATGAAATAGAGAGAGATAGATATGTAACTTCTTAAGATCATTTGTTGAGCACTGTATTCAGCTATTCCTATTTCCTGAACAAAACACTGTGCATGGGGATGTCACATCACACTGGCACTCATTCAGTTCCTCTGACTTCCCAAGCTCCTTTCACCTCAGCATTTGGGCCAAAAGATGTCACTGTTTACATCTCAAATAATACTGCCATGTTGAAATTGTATAACCAATGGACTGACAGTCTTGAAGTTATGTATTTTTTCAAATATTTCATTTGAGGAAATGAAAACTAAATTCTGAGCATAAGAAAGATTTTATTACTATTTTGATATGGTCCAATAACTAATTTGCATAATTCAAATTCATGTAGAAGGCATACATATCCTGCCTGGGCATAATCATCTATTAATATATTTTTATTTTCTTTGCACAAACAGGTTATATTCAATACTGTATTCATTTTTTTCAAGTAATGGAGATGAACTGCATTCTTTGACTAGATACCATAACCTAACGATTTTGCCAATAATGAAGGAATTAGTTGTTTCCAGTTTTGTGATATTATAGGTAATGCTGTCATGAACATCCTTGTTCATAATTTTGAGTGAAGTTTTGCATGTTCAAAGTGTAAATGCCTAACAACAGAATCAGGGTATCAAAGGACATGCGTTACAACATTTTGATACATATTGTAGAATTGCCCTCCAGAGATGATGCACCATTTCAAGTGTCCATTTCCCCATGTTCAGAAGAGATGAGAAAGCATTATCAGCATCATTTCAGACTGAGAACCAAGCCCTGATTTATTTCAGTTCAGTTAATTTGCTCAGCCATGTCTGATTCTTTGCAACCCCATGGA